GTGCCCTGGGCTTGTCGCCTCTGGTAGGCGGCAGAGAGAAGGCAAACTCGGTACGTACCTCTGTCTCAACCTTGAGGTAATACGTGGACACTCGCTGATGCGAGCAAAAAGTGAGCCAGTCAGAGGCGCCGCCGCTGAGAGCTGCATAGAATCCCAACCGAAGCGGCTTGGAAGTGGAAGCTGAAGCCCGGACTTCGGGCTGCAGGGAAGGAGGGATAGCGACAGACCACATGCCGATCCGTGCACCTTCTAGAACCCTTCGACGCCCGTGACTGGTCGGCCGGGGCAGGAAGGCCCCTCAAAAGCTAGGACCTCACCGTCACCCTGTAAAGGAGAAGGGGAACATTGAGGAGCGCCAGAAGGAGGGGAGCACCTGCTTCTTTGCTACTGTGTTTTGACTGGAAGCAGCGATGCGTCAAAGGACCCTCCGTGCCTCCTCCTGCTTCTCGACTCTCCCCCCACCTTATTCCCCCCGTCCCAGAGCAATCCTCGTCCCTAAACCGAACCCAAAAAGCTTCCCTTCCCTTGGCCTTTCCGCTTCCTGCACTCCCCCCATCCTGTGTTCCCATCTCGTCACCTCCCGCTTTTCTCCATCAAGATACACAAAGCGAACCCTATCCTCGCGGCCTCTGTCTCGCACCCGGACAGTACGAGAGCACCTAGACACAAAACCGGCCACTTACTACGCCTCCCCCAGTCCCTCCTTTACATAGGTAGGTACTAGCCGCACCCTCGTCCGGATCATAATTGCTATACCACGCCGTGATCTTTCTTCTCTTTTCCACCTCTCCTCGTCAACCCAGTCAACGCGCTCGCCAAGTATCCTCCTTGGCTTCTGACAGCTTCATCGGCCTTACCGATTCTTTATCGCACGGTCTGGTCAGCCAAGATTCCCTTCCCCAAGATCCGATTGTCAATACTACGAAGGCTGTCGAGCTATCCGCCCCAACTTGCCATCGCCCACGAGCTAGCTCCGTACGCTGTCCTCTGGTGAGTGATAGCTCCCTTCGTGGCCACGCGCTGGTCCAGAAGCCTGTCTACCTCCAACAGTTCAACCTATTCGCCACTTTCTCCCCGTTATTTGTCCTCGAATCTTCGTTAGCTTCATCCCATCCCATCGTTACTGTCCTATTTCCTACCGTTTCCATCCTCCAAAGCACGCCACTTTACAGTGCGTGCTCTCATCCCCCATATCGTTCCAGGCGCTCATTCTATCACTTGGTATCGCGTTGTGGTATCTTGCCGCCACCCCTCTTCGTCACCCGGCCGCAGCCAATGGTGTCTCTGTTCGGCCTGCGTCACTGTACCTAAGCATACCCTCTCTGCGGCGTAGTCACTAAGAGAGTCGTGATCATCTCCGTTACTACAGCCTGAACGCGAGGACTACGCATCAGGTACAACCATAGTTGAACCATGCCGAAAACCTCCACCAATTTCATAACATTCTTTTGCCCAACACCATGACCCTCGAGACGGGGCAACCGTCCAACATTCCTTTTGCTGCTACCCACATACTGCGAGCTGAAGCTGACTGAAAAAGCACGAAGCCTACCACGACGCTCACGCGAAACAGTCGACATCCTTGATCTCTGCGCCGCCTCCCACACCCACCTAGCAGCTTGCCCCACGAAACCAACTTCTATCTACGATACGAACGTATTTTCAGACGAATATACTACACCAGAAAATGTCCGGCATGTTCAAGAGTCCTTTCGGGGCTAACGCCAACCCTTTTGGAGGTCCCAGCGATGGAGCCCCGGCGGGAGGCAACGCCATTCATCGAGTAATCGAAGAAGAGGAGAACGACACTGTCACGTCTCCTACATCACCAAGCTTCGGCATGAATTCTGGTTCAATGTTCAGCGGCCCATTCGGTGGCGACGCTGTCAACGATGCCCCGCCCTCTGCGCTTAGAAGTCCGCCGAATCCTGAGAGCTATCCCGCCCAATACAACTTTGGCCGTCGAACCTCGGTCTCGGCCGAGTCTTTGAAGCCTAGCGCAGACACGTATGATAACTGGTCACCTCCTTACCACGAGAAAAGCAAGGAACAACTGGGACGTCTGCAGACTGCCATCGAAGGCAACTTTCTCTTCAGCCATCTTGACGAAGAGCAGAGTTCCCAAATTCTGGGTGCGCTCAACGAAAAGCCGATTCCTGCCAAGGACATCAAGGTAAGCTGTTCTTGACGTTGGCATATCGCACGACCAGATCCTGACAATTCACAACAGGTCATTAGTCAGGGTGACGCCGGCGACTTCTTCTACGTAGTAGAGAAGGGATCTTTCGATGTATACGTCAACAATAGCGGTAACTTGCAGCCTGGCCCCGAGGGCATGGGCCAAAAAGTGGGAACCATCCAGGCTGGAGGCTCGTTTGGTGAACTCGCTCTAATGTACAATGCTCCGCGTGCTGCAACCGTTATCTCCGCCGAGCCTGGATGCACTCTCTGGGCGCTTGACCGTCTCACTTTCCGCCGCATCCTCATGGAATCTACATTTGCTCGGCGGCGAATGTACGAGAGTTTCCTTGAAGAGGTGCCTCTGTTGCAGAGCCTCACGCCATACGAGCGATCCAAGATCGCTGATGCGCTGGAAACTCAAAAGTACGCACCGGGGGCAACGATCATCAAAGAAGGCGACCCTGGGCACTCATTCTTCCTCCTGGAGAGCGGTGAAGCCGATGCATACAAAGGTGACAGCAAAGAATCCGTAAAGCACTACAGCAAGGGAGACTTCTTCGGCGAGCTTGCGCTTCTGAATGATGCTCCTCGCGCGGCTAGCATCGTTGCCACGACGGATGTCAAGGTCGCAAGCCTCGGCAAGAACGCCTTCCAGAGGCTTCTTGGTCCCGTTGAAGGCATCATGAGACGGACAAAGTACGAAGGCGTCAAGACTGGTGTCGAGGAGATGGATCCGCTTCAAGCAGTCTAGAAGCGGCAGAGCTTTGGATGATTTTGCGTTTTTATTCAAGTATGGATGGCAGGCTTTCGGATGGTTTAAAGTGAATGCGAAGATTCACGGCGGCGTTAGCGGAAACCCTTACCCTCGCTTCCTAAGAGACACGGCTATAGTGATGTCCAGATACCTGTTAGTGAAGAATATTTCATCCACAATGCTGTCCTGGAAGTGTGGGGGTTGGAGTTTTTCGTGGTATCATTATCGGTGCATACGTAGTGCAGGCGAGCGGCCTTTATCAGGCACCGTTGCCGACTCCTTCTCAATATCGGCACCAAGGCTCAGCATTAATCTCCTCTTACTCTCATCTCTTCCAGAATCTCCCTCCTCAATTGTTCAATGGCAATCTCGGTCTCTAGTGTCCTTCCCACACCCTTCTTCCAAGTCTCTTCCAGTCCCTTCATCTCAGCTGCCACCTCCTCCTGCTGCCGCCTTCGAGCGACAGTCAAGACGTCGATCAAGCGCTTCGTTTCGGTGAGATCACGCTCTAGAGCCTTGAGCTCGTTCTCCAGGTTCCAGTTACCAATTAGCCAAGCATTCTTGCCCCATTTGTCCAGCAACCTGAGGTTCTGAGCGCGTGTATCTAGATAGGTATAAGATATGTATGCTTTCCGGAGAGCGTCGGCCAGACGCTCGCGGTCTTCTGCTGTCGATGGTGTCCCAGAGTCTGGGAAAGGCTCTTGTGTTTGGTAACGCTCGAGGTTAATGGCTTTGAGTGGCTGTTTAGAGGCGACGCGTTCCAGCTCGAGTTCAATGAGGGGAGAGAAGGATGGTTCTTTGTAGGTTGATGTAGGGGGCGGGGGAGACGTGGCTAGCTCGGCCATAATCAGGGCCAAGGAGGCCTCGCGCTCCTCCAACGTGGGCTCATCATCAATATCTGCAGGCATTCGATGTTAATTCAGGTCACGGGCGCGCGGCAGACGACGCCAAGAGCAACGTACATGGGAGAGACTCGTGGAAGGCGTTCAGGGCAGACATGCTGAGACGAATCCGATTCAATGAGAAAGGTACTATCGAAAGAGTTGTTCGCAACAATAGGTTCAATCTAACTGCCTGAAATGTCGACAAAGTGGTTTGGTCGCTAAGGGCATAGAGGGTGCGTGGCTTACTTTGCCAACTTCAACCAAAAATTGACGCGAGGCCGCCGCGACTTGGAGTTCAGAAATTTGGGAGCTTGACGTACATGCCCGCCCGATAAGCAGATAAGTCGGTTACAAGGAAGTTGGATCCGTGCGTCGTCTGACTCTGGAGGAAGGCAGGTGCACAGATCATGTGCTGTCGATCTTCGGTCTGGGTGAAGCGATGATTCCACTCATACAACGCTTGGACAAATACGATCAACTGCGAGCTGTTCTGCAGTAAGCCAGGCGCTAGCTGAGGTTGGTGTAGTTGGGCCACTGCCCCCCCCCCCCCCCCCCATTACTGTCTGTCTGTCTTGACTTTGAGATGCCTAGGAAGCAGCAAGACAGGCGACTGCACTTAGCGGATCGATAATGGGACGATTGGGAACCTGACGTGCGGGCATGGCTTAAGTTGGCAATGGCTTCAACCCCACCAGGGTCGTGCTCATTTTATCTTCATATTTCATTGGCTACCTAGACCCGAAGAGGGGTTGATGCAAGACCTCGTCCTGCATTCGCCTGATCAAATATGCTTTCTTTGACGCCACGAGCACCGAGAAACTTCAATGGCAGGCCAAGCCATTGGACGATGTCACGCGTCTTCGATCCATAACAGACGTCCTCCAACAACAGTGGAACGAACATAAGCCACAAGCTTATGAAAGAGGCGGATCTAGTTGCGGGCACAGTGTATGTACATCTTGCTCTCTGTCATTAGCCCCTCTGGGTACCTTGTCCAGGAATGCCCGAGAAACAGATGAGAAATATCGTATGAACCCGTCCTTTAATCATTTTCTTCAATCACTCAAATCCATTGTTCCGCCATATCCGCTTGTTCGTACTGTGCCACTTCCAAAAGACTCATACCATCGTCTTTTAACCAATAAATCAAATGTGACTTACATCTTGTGTTACGCCAACAATATCGAGAATAGTCTGGCAAACTGGGCCACAATCCGAATTCTCATGGCCGAGCCTGTCGCCAGATGGTTAGTCCAGTCCATTCTCAAACAGACGGAGAGGATGATCCGACCCGGCACACAACTCCTGACCTGGAGCGAAACCATCAGGCCAGCCGGCATCTTTCTTTCCATGCCAGACTGCTCCAACCCATTTGCAGCGATAGTGTTCTGTCTGACCGGGCTTTGCCCCTCTCTAAGCCCAAAATAAGTAAGAACGGCAGCCACCATTACCAGAAGCAGTTGCCCATCTACGCCCCATTTGCGATAAAATTTGACCACTATCCTCTAGCCTTATATACTATACCTACCTATAAGAGCGCACCAGAAGTGAGTTGTCTCGTGTGTCTTGAGTGATTAGGGGCTGGCGGCGCACGCCAGGCTCAACTATTGTACGCGGCGGCGCTTCATGTCCTTTGAAAGGCGGCCCAGGCTGTAACCGGCAAAGGATGGCTCTGGCCGCTCCGGACTGTTGTCAGAAAAGCCCGCCATACCCCCTTCTTTTGCTAGTCAGGGTGGCAAAGAAAAAACAAAGGAGCCCGCGTTCTTCAACTATCCTAGGTGTCATCTTAAAGCACCACATATCCCTCCTGCATGCTACTGTGTCTCCAAACAGGGTTCAACATTGTGTGATGAGCACACACCAGACATCATGAGGTCTTTAGTATCTCTCACCTTCATGGTGTCTACGTTCCTAGTCATAGTGATGCCTTTTGCTGAAGCCCAGAAAGTCAACAACATAACGGATGCTGTGTCAAAGCTCCCTACCTGCGCTGTAAGTGTTCTATCTTGTCTCAGGCTCATTCATCGTTACTCACATCACCTCAGGCTACCTGTATACTATCGGCAATCAAAGACTCACCATGTGGGTTGACAAACACGACCTGTATCTGTTCTGATTCGCAATTTGAAACCACGACTGAGAGCTGTGTAACATCTACCTGCAACGCCAAAGATGCCCTTAGTTAGTTACAATTTTCCCTAGGATGTTCAAGAAATTGGCTAATAGCGAACCAGATACCAAAGGTGTCTTCATGGCCACCTGTGGCAACCCAGTGAGGGATCGCAGCCCAACTTATGCTCTGCTTACCTGGGTGGTCCTGGGCCTTAGCACCTCAGTGGTAGCTGCTCGCTTGGCGTACAAGCTCTTCTCGTCGGCAGAGATTGGACTTGACGACTTGTTCACCTTTCTCGCCTACCTCGCTGTTGTTCCGTCCTTCGTCATCAATCTAGCCGGTCTCATCCCCGCCGGCCTTGGCAAAGACATATGGACCCTTACGGCAAGCCAAATTAGGGATTTCGGCTTCTGGTTTTATGTTGTAGAGCCCTTGTACTTCGTCCAGATGGGCCTTGTCAAGATGGCACTCTTGTGCTTCTACATGCGCATCTTCGACCGTACGGTTATTGGAAAGATCCTGTGGGGCACGGTAGCCTTCAACGCTATCAACACGTTCGTCTTCACCATAGCTAGCATCTTTCAGTGTACCCCCATATCATACTATTGGACAAAGTGGAGTGGCGAGAGTCAGGGTAGTTGCATCGACATCAACGGGCTCGCCTGGGCATATGCTATTATCGGTATTGCCCTGGATATTTGGATGCTCTACCTATCTCTATCAATGATCCGGACCCTCCACCTTCATTGGGGGAAAAAGCTAGCTGTTGCGCTGATGTTCTTTGTCGGTGCCCTGTACGTTTCTCCCCCTTCTTCATACTTGAGCATGGCGATCTAACATCACTCAGCGTCACAATCATCAGTATACTAAGACTCCAGTCGCTGGTTCGCTTCGCAAAATCTATGAACCCAACATGGGATCAGTACGATATCGCCTTCTGGACATCCATCGAAGTACCTATTGGCATAATTTGCTGCTGCATGCCAACCATTCGCCTTATCCTTATCAAGGCGTTCCCAACGTTTTGCCGAAAGCTCGACCGGCACTATAGTTTGGACAAACATATCGATCCCTCAAACAAAGTAAACCAGAACCCGGCTCGCAGCCTGACACTTCGCGGTGCTGCTCCTAATTCCTTGACTACCAAGCTTCTACCCGTTCTACAGGACACCAAAAGCATGACGGCCACTCAACCTCTCTCTCTCAAGACTTACGACTTTTTGAGTTCGCAGGGAACGAAAGACCTTGAGACTGGGAGCGTCAAAGATTGCAACTCGCCAACATCACACTCTTCCAGCGCGGTTTCTTATCATGAAGGTTCAGGTCAGAGGTATCCAGAGGCCATTAAAAGCAACAGTTGCCAAGATACCTAGTCAATGTGCTATGGTACATAGTTGAAACCCCCATATATAAATCTGTTTACGTCGTCGAGTACTAGGAGCACCTGCTGTGGCACTTGGAGCTGCAACACTCTGATGCCCCTTATTTCATATACAAAGACCGTACCCGTTACAGCACGTCGGTCACCGGTTCTTCGATGAAGAACGAAACAGGATCAGCACCTCAATTGAGGAAGCCTACAATTACGTGAGACACCTAAGTCCGGCCATTAGAGTAGGAAGAAGAATGAACCTCTGTTCAAACATATCGAACAAGACAATGAAAACAACCGTGCGGATTCAATTTTGTTTCTTTCAAGCAACTGGCGGTCTTTTTGCGTCGGTCCCATGGTAATGCTGTGTCCAAATGTCTACATATCGTTTCTGCAATTGTTAATTGTCCAAATGACCTCCAAGATAACACCTGATGATCGGAATGGCAAAAAGGCTTTAGCGGATTGGCAGTTTTCTTCTGGAAGATTTTTGATCGCGACATGTGGCGGTATCGAAGCCAAGTCTTCAAACGACCTTCCCGCACCCTGTCTGGCGTCTTGATAATTCACTCAACAATATACACCGTTAAATTGATCCGGAAACGAGGGCCTGAGATGCTGGTAGGCTTGGAGAGGGGGAGAATCGGGAAGGTGATGTAAGCGTGGGTCTTTCCCCCGACTCAACATATACCCGATGTTTTCTTTCCCAAAAATGCGAGCAATATCTACCATCCCCAGGCCCAGGAAGAACTTAAACATCCATCTTTTGACCTATAAGCTGTAAAGTGTCCGTATTTATACTTCCAAGTGTGTTCGTTTTTTTATTGACATCCCACGATGCCGGAAATCTCCATACAAGCCTTTTACAAGAAGGAGCTTCCGACTTCACCTGGAACTGCGCCAGCTGACAGATGGCCACGAAATAGTGATGGATTTACACAAGAAGAGATCAATTCTGGGCACAATTTCCTGGACCGTCAGTGGAACCCGTCGGAAGACTATGAGAACGTGTGCATCGGCGACATCCAACTGGGTCCGACTCGCATCCGCTTTACTGGTCGCATAGTCAACTACGCTCCGGCTTTTCTCGACACCAAAAAGACCTACAGTCGCCCAGCACATCAATTGATAGTCACAGATGACACGGGAGCCATAGGTGTAGGTATTCATGTTGCCACACGAGTATTGTAGAGGCTAATAGCCGTCCAGGTCAGTCTCGTCCCTATTGGTATCCCAGTCTCTCGTTTGTCCATAGGACAGCTCGTGGTTGTCTGGGCCAGCTGGACAGGTACCGCGGCAGGTTCAAATCACGGCAATATCCCCTTTGTCACTATGTACACCCCAATAAACCCAGCAGACGTAGGCACAAAGCAGTTCATTCAGTTTCTGCCCCATACTCCAGAGAACCAGCGACTTTGCCGGGTGCCCCTAGAGTACGACGACCGCGGACAGAAGCCGAAGCTTCTCCCTGGTCTTATGACTTTGGGGCAGTATCTAAAGACAGGACATGACACCCGAGGGGTCCGTATCATTGTCTGCATCAAGGGTTTCGGCGCCCGTAAGCGCATTATGGTGCAAGGGCGTACGAAAGAGGCAGAGCTGCTCGAAGTCAGCGTGTGCGACGATACCGCCAGCTGCGTGCTGACTCTTTGGGAGGACAAGGCCAACTCCGCCAAGCTATGGAAGCCCAACGAGACCATCCTACTTCTGACGAACCCAAAATTCGTGCCTCCTCGGAACACAAAACCACTACCCACGAGCGCCGGTATCAGTCTGAACTATAACACTCTCGTTGATGTCGATCCGAATTTCCAGGATGCCAATTGGCTTCGCGAATGGGTTACAAAAAGAGTCGAGAGAGAGGCCGTCTTCTTACCTTTCCCGGAAGGTGTATGGAACGCAGAGGTTGCTGTTCATGGGCCTGTCCGACCACTTTTCACCCTCGCCGAGGTGGACGACTTCGCACGCGCCGATCCCGCTACTGACTTCACCGGCAAGCTGAATCTTACTGTCCTAGGTATCAGCTTGCTTGAGCTCCATCGAAGAAAGATGATGTTTTGTACGGAATGGTGAGCTCTGCTCTTGTTCCCGCTCTGCTGTTCGATGAGACACGCAACTAATGTATTATTCCTCGTCAGCTGTGGGGTTCCCCTATATGCAAACCAGCCATCTGCGACGTGTAAGAATTGCATGAAGCAGCAGACGCTCGTCCTCAACCCCCGTGTCATGGGTACCCTAGCAGACGAGACTGGATGCATTACGCAAGGGAAGCTTGTGTGGAATGACCAGGCTTGGGGAGAGCTCTTCTTCCCCGCTGTCGAGCCCACCCCCGCGAACCCAATGCTGGCGACGGCGGATGTTGCGAACACATCTGCTTCCACACTCACAAAGAGAGATTTGGCCACGATGGGGACCAGTGAGCTCAGGATATTGGAGGAGCAGATACTATATGCCCGTCTCACGTTGACATTTGGCTGGTCCCCGTTTGTCAAACGGCTGTGCGTCCTTGGAGTTGAATGGTAAAGACTGGTGTTTGAAAGTGGCCAGAAGCAGGGTTCGTAGCTTTATTCTGTCTGGGTGGTGTGTACAGATTGTATTGGGCTGATCTGGGCGATGAGGGGTCGTTGTAAGGAAGATGTTGCCAAGCTGGGAGGCTGGAGACAAGAGGGTGAACTTTGCTCCAAGATTCCATCCAAGTTATCTGAGAAGGAGAACCAAAAAATGATTTGAGCTCGATGCAACGATGTTCATCAAACAAATTACCATGCTTCGTTTCGGCGGCGGCCCCTCATCAGCGACTGCTGATGTTTGCCATTAGTTACTTCAGTCGTCAGGAGTGCCCGCCCGAGGGGGATGGAGCTCGAACCCAGCCGGACCGAAAGCATAATCCGGCAGGGCCAGAGAGTGGGTGAAACATGGGTGCATCAAGGCGACAGCAACATAATCACAGTTGCAAGGTAGCGGGTCAAACTGCACGAGATATCAAAGAACAAACAGATACAAGGCATAAATCTATTGTCAAGATTGTTGGCCATTTGGGTTGATAATACAAAGGCGACAGTTTTCGTCGCCAGGTCATGAGAGTTCGTGATGCATGCTGTTATCCGTCTCTGGGGCAGTCAATCTTTGGGCGAGGGTCCCGACTCGATGTCCATCCCGGGTCTCTCGAATACAAAGTCATGTGTCTCCGAAACCGTTTAAAAGCAAAACCAGAAGCCATTGATACCCGTCCTCCCATGCAAGATATGTTTTGAATTATTTGTTGATAGCCAGTTTCCCAAAAGGGAAAAGGCCGAGACGAAAGACGACGATTCGACTGTCGTGCTGGAAACAGCGATGATAGTGTTGCACACGAGGTAGACATCGTAGCGTGCGAGGGGTTGGAATTAGTGCTTGGTGACTTTATCATCACCATAGGCTGAAGAACGGCCGCTCTCGGACGACTCTGTCTTGGTGAGCTCCTCGCCGTCCAACTCGGTGGGTCCATGGACAGACTCCTCGAAGACGGGCTCGGGCTCGTTGACATCGAACTTAGTCTTGAAGGCACCGATGTTGTCGGCGAAGCCACTGCTGTTTGTGCGACGGCGGGCGTAGGTGAAGCGGAAATCCTCGTCGACGACCTCCTCGCCGGCATTGCCCCTGAAAGATGAGTTGTTATGTCAGCTTATCGAGCTTGATATCAAGATGCACGCGGCACTATGTTTGGAGGGATATGGCGGTGCCGTGACATAGCCAAAAGGGAAAGAGGTACGTGTAAGTGGGGTAGAAAGGTCAAAACATACCAGTTACTTCTGCCACCGCCGTTCTTCTTCACCTTCTTGGGGTCAGCGCCGACAGGGCCGTGCTTCGCAAAGTAGCGAGGGAGATGCTCCTGGGCGGCAGCGGTTCCATCGGCCAGACCGGCGTGGTCACGGTCGTTGAACTTGTGAGAGCGAGTCACTGGCGCCATGTTAGATGAGCTAGTTCATAGAGGTGTCGAGGAGCCCATTGGCATGCTGACGAGATGAACTTGCGTATATGCGCTGATGGTGTGAAAGATGTGCGACTGCTTCGAGGAATGGGAGTTGGCAGGGGGCTGAGGTGATGAGGGGAGGCATCACACGAGGGGGTTTTGTAATGCGGGGTGTAGTATAGGTGAAGAGGTTCGGGGAAGCGAAGAGGGGGTTAGGAGTACATACTCTTGATGAAAGTGGTTGTCGATAGGGTTGGCTGCACGCGTGCAGGTGTTTGAAAGTCACAACTGAGGCCGGATTGACTCGAGTATGTGCCGTTGATGCTTGCTGGGGAAAAAGATGGCAGTTGGGGAGTTGATTCGATGATGGATTGAAGAGAGAAGCAGAAGCGCGTTGATGAAATCGTTGATGTGATGTGAGAATGAAAGGGAGGGGAGAGGGGAGAGAGAGGAGGTAGATATGTAGACGAGCAGAGCTACAGGATGCTTTTAAAGGTCGAAGGCTCGAGAGAGACGACAGCCTATCACATCATGCGATCATCGGACAGTTTGCCCAATGAGGTGCATGGCAAGGGCAGATTGCATTTCGCAGGACCGGAAAGCCTGGGTCCTCTGGTAGAGAAAGCTGGATCGCGTGACCTGATGGATGCAGCTGAGGGGCTTGTTGCAAGGGAAGCAGCAGCCGCAGCGACGGGGACCGGCCGGCGTGGACTTGGACTGGGCCCCGGGGAGTGGAGATGGACGTGGACTGACGCCAGACCAAACCTTCGTTATGCCACCTCTTGCGGCATTGCAACTGATCCGCCTGTGTTCTCTCCTTCTTTTCCCCCCTCCCCCCCCCTCCGGTTCCGTACCACATAGCTTCGTGTTTGGCCACTCTCTCTTGGTGACTCCCTCGAGGGGGGGGGGGGTTTCATTTCCCCCCCCAACATACTGGTCGTTCTGTCAGGAACACAATGGTCCCTTCCATCGAAGGCCAGTCTAGTTAGATGGACGATAGAAGACTGCTCTCGTGCTTTCCTCGGCCGTTTCGTTCCCTCTTCTACACAGTCTCCCCTGGGTTGAAGCATGGGAGCACAGTGACGCAAAAGGCGACCGACCCACTCGGGATCCAGGGTCTCAGGTACCAGCATGCAGCTGGGACGGGTGGCCAGATTGCGGGGTAGTGGGTACACAGAGTACCGACCGGCGCTAGTCCGTTACATCCCCCAAGCCACTGAGCCGCTGCGGCCACGCAAGTACCTCAGCAGCACGCGACCAGTACCCGCCAACCCATGCCCCGACGAGCCATCGAGCCACTTCGACGCCGCAACCCCGAGAAAACTGCCCATCGCCAGTGTCGTCTTATCCCGGCTGGCTTGCTTGCTTGCTCCCTCGCTTTCTGTTTCGTCCCTGCTATCGTCGTTTGTCGCCGCTGCCACCGACCGTCCCAACGTTTTCCGTCGTTCCTTGTCCGTTGACCACGGTTCAAGGGCTGCCAATGGCAAAACACCACCTGTACCAATTCTGCTGCATGGTTCCGATATCGGATGACCCAACGCCGGGCGGGCTATGGCTTCGATGTCCTATGGCCATGTGGCAGGTCTACCTGAGCATGACACCTTGCAAAGACTCCATCGCGGCAACCTGCAGGACGTGACACATGATCATGCTCATGCTCGGCGACCGGCGGGCGCTCTTTCCACCTCTCTCGCCCGTTCCAACCTAAGGCACATACGGTACATGGACCATGAAGCTGGAATTGCTGCCACGGAGCGGAGGTGCGCAACACGATGGGGGAATGGGGCTCTGATGGATTCCTTCCATCGTCAGCTGCCCGCTGCCCGCCCCGTTTCCGGACCTCTCCCTAGTGAATTGCCTCCCCAACAAGTCTGCAATACCCATGCATGTCGTGGGAAATGACCCGTATGACTGGAATTTCGCGTTTCAATCTTGGTCTTTGAAACCCCTGAACCAGTCAAGCTCGTCCTCAGGGTCGGTCGAGGGCCAATTGACCAATGAGCTCCACACGGCTTCTTTGCGGAGCTTTCTGGAGCTCTCTCGAAGTGGTTTAAACGTCCGCTATCCCACCCATCTCGCAATGCCACCTCGGACTGACGTTAGCCCTCCGCTTGATCACCCACCTTACTTTCGTGCTGCCTCACGAGATACAATACGAAGTAGTGGATCTGTACTGTACAGTGTAGAGACTGGAATTGCCCATAACTACAGTGGGAGAAGCTCGTCAGTGTTCCCCTGACTCGCACGAGTCGGTTCCCCGCCGTGTGTGCCCCCCCCCCCCCCCTGATCTACTGTACTCTGCAGGCCGGCTATCCTGACAGAGCGGTGCTCGACGTGTTTCCTCTTCCACCTGCCGCATTCCTCTTGAGGCTGTCATTCCATTCGTCAGTCGACGACCGCCCCTGCCGGCCAGCTCGAACGACCTCCGGCTCCGCAAGCAGGCTTGAGCACCGAACCTCTTGGCTCTCTCAAGGCCGATCTATTCATCATATTTTTAGGCTCTTGAATTTGCAACCCCGATAACACAGATAAGATATGCTACCACCAACGGTGCAATCCAGATCACTCCATTTCCATGGTTGACGGCCGTAAGAGTTATAAGGTGAGATAGGCAGGCAGGATGACAGGCAGCCAGACAACCCGGATCACGGACAGTGTTCGTCATTACGAACCGCCTCTATCATGGCGGGGTCCATGATATTGACGGGGCACGTTGCAAGCGACCGGAGGGGTCTCGGTTTCCCCACGGATCCCGTGACCACCCTTTCCCTTATTCTCCCCTCTGCTTATCGAACAGTCTCGACCCGTTAGTATTACGACAATTCACCGCCACAATCTGTTGAGCCGCCAGAGAATAGTAAGTAGCTGTATAGTTTATGTAGCGAGGCCGCTGTGCAACCAAGTTATCGAACCTGCGCTCGAGCTCCACAGCACACCACTCTTGAGTCGATTGAATTTTGATGACGAAAGTCGTAGGCTCGGGCTTTGCTTGCGCAATCTTCACCCTCTTTGTTTTGGCAACATGTGATGGTACCAGACAAGCAAGATAACAATCTTCAGCTAGATTACTAGGTCAAAAAAGTCTTGTTACAGCAATGGGAATATTCCCACTCGTTCTGCCTGGTAATTCTGGCTGATAGTATCAGCTGCTGGTTGGGTTTCGTTTGTGCTGTAACTGTACATCGTACTAACATGTCGTCTAGAACCTTCTAGCTCAAAGTACCTTACGGTGGCCATTTGTTGCAAATGTAGAGGAGGCTCTAGTCGAGAGTCATGCCCCAACACTATGCCAATCTATCTCTTGCTCCTGCATAGCTTATTTTGAGGACACGTTGCAACGCTGTGGCCGTGTCACATGGTCCAGTTACTTCATTGATACCTGTCCTCTTCTAAAGACAGAATCGGACGCTTTCCATTCAGCCCGTAGTCTGCCTCATCGAAAAATCGCATGGCGGTAACATCTCCAGCGGCTAATGATGGCTGACAGGGAGCATGGGCAGTCAATGTTGGAGTCCAAGTCTCGGGTCGCTGGGGGCCTCCATTAACCTCATCTGAATGTGGCAAGAAAACACACGCGTCAAGAGGACTCGGCTAGTAGCACGAGAGAGCCATTGTGCCCTGAGAGACGTCTTCAGGACAAGAGCCGTTTTCGGCAGCTTGAATCACTATCAGAATGAGCACAGTTGCCCCGGTCAGGGTGTCGACTCAAATTTTGTGACATAACCCTGAGAGTTGTAACTCTGTTTTCAAGTGTTGTTTTAAAGCGCAAGTCGCGTTTATGTAGTTTATTAACTACTTGGGCACCTTCTTACTAGTAGATGAAGTCCAGTTTGGTTGGTGAAGCATATAGACTCACTAACCTTACCTCTGTTACCAACGCCCTTTTCAGCACTTAGTGTTTCAAATAATTGATTACTGGGATCCTTCTTATAGTGAGACTCTAGTTCCCAACTTTTATAGTCCATGAGTGGTGAAGGTGCATACAGACTTTTGTTGTACGGCATAAAAAAGTGCCGTAGGAGTAAGCTGATCCAATGGATGATACATGAGCAATCACTCCATGATCCCGAATAAGTCAAGAAGCCTTTTTGACCACTTAGATATCTTCTTCTAATCACCGGGGTTGCAACTGGGGCGAAAAGAAGATCCTTTTGCTTACCGAGTATATTTGGCGTGGCCAAGACGGCCATGCCCTGTAGGCCTTATATCCTGAAGTTTCCCTTCGAATATGGTACTCGTTGTCATTCTTTATGATATTCCGGCAGTTAGATTTCTGACCATGTCTCTTCTCGTCAAACGGCTTACGCGCCTCAATCGGACAAGTTGGAAGACCGCGCATGTACATGAAATACCCTCATATGACCAAGGCCCGACCGGGAAACTTCCTGCGGAGCTTTGGCTTATGAGACCCTTCTTAATGAATTGAAGCAAGGACTGTAACTTGGTAGTGTTCAAAGACGTATGCTGGGCGCGGAGACCGGTCCATGGACGCCATCGGCGGTCATTAAGTGCGATATTTACAACCCTCATAGAACCATGTCCGAGAACCACGTCAAACCGTTATATTATGCAATGATACAACGTGATCAAGGTCGGCCTCTGCGATTCTTTGAATGATGCTAAAAATACTCAAGAAAGGGAACAGAGAAGACACCAATAAGCCATCGTCTTTCCGGATCACAGGCCACTGAGGCCGCCCTGAACATGACGTTCCTTAGGACTTGCGTAAATTTACATAGCCTTGGGGATCCTCAATCACAGAACTAGTGGTACCCAAGAGTCCATGGAGGGATCATCATTCTAAGCCTATTCCAAGTCAATTATCGCATAGCCTGGGCAGCTCCCCAACATTGACATGCACATAGATCTGCAAACAGGGCAAAATAGGTCAGCCGATATTAAAAAGTATTCCATATATGATACAATAAGCGACAACAATATGCAGGCTGCTAGCTCCAAAACAGGAGCAACGGGCATCGGGGTTGTTCTATATATCACGTACACGTAAATGCGGCAGCCCTCTTGCCAACCAGACTTTGCCCAGGCAAGAAGGAGAATTTGAAATTGTTTTCTTTTTCGTGACGAGATTGACGTGGCAGTGAAGACGGCGGAATCCGGAGCTACCTCGTCAAGTTAAGAAAGCCGTCAGCTCCAACCGGTCCGAGCCAGTCACCCTTCATTGTCAGCGACGCCGAGATGCCGAAGACCCGCGAAGTGTATGCGACCATAAGACGGGAAAAACCACCGAGAGCAACGTAGCATGCCGAACCCCGTAGTTGGTGAGATTTCCCAACCTTGCATTGAAACGGTACAGAATTTGATTTACGTTGGACGCAGAAGGAGAGAGAGAGAAGAGACCCCCCCCACCCCTTAAACTGACATCGTTTACGCGGAGAAACGGCCACAAGACAAGACAACCTTCAGAGAAAGGGGCCGCGTAGTTCCGAGAGGTTTACGCAAGCCACAGAAACATCAGACTCGGCTACCGGAGAACTTACATGTTATTTATGTGTATGCCGTCGGCAGCTTCCAGCTCCCGCGTCGTCCGTACATTCGTGCCCAAAACCTTTGCCCCCTACACAAACATACTTTGGTTGCCCATCCAAGCTGAACCTGCACGGTCGAGAGCACGGTGCCGTTGCAGTCATGTATCCGGCTGTTTGTTCACAGCTGCCGACGTAAGCGCACACCAAATCCATCCTGCGAATCCCGTTACCTCTCAGATCAACTCAAAACATCGCCGCGGGTTCATGAGCGTAAGCACGCACGGATGGAAAGCCCGAAGGTAGTCGCGTCTGCTCTCCATAGCCACGCGTTTCATTGCAGGCGACGGTTGCAAAACTGTCATTCCATTCTTAGAAAAGCTTGTTTTCTCCCTCCTCGACGATCTCCATCTCCAGGCAGCCGCATAGCGGAAGGGCTTAGATCATTCCCATCCCCTCATATCCCTCGCATCGCACCCCGTAGATTACCAAGTACCCAAAAGCTTAATAGGATCATGACGGGTAGTCCCAGTAAGTGGATAGTCCACCAGAGGGCCCCCAAGACCCCGGAATCGGCTCCGGGAGACAGATCAATGGACCCCAAAAACATGACAAACTAAAATTGACCATCCTCGTGGGCAAGTGGGGAGAGAAACAGGGTGCTGACGTGAATCGCTGCTGAGTAACATTCCCACGCCAGCAACGCCCACAGGGCTGATAGCAGGGTGACCAAGGAAACCCGCAGGCACAAGCGTTCCTATCGGTGAAGCCAGATCTGGCAGTACAGAAGGCCAGGCCTGTTTCGTTCGCTTCCATGAACCCATCCTGACGAGAACCCTGCTCACCCTGCGCCCACAAGAGCCCCCCCTCCCCTTCCCCTACCACCCCAAAAAGCTTGGGAGAAGTTTACGCGAACTGTGGGCTGGGTCGATGACGGGTCTTGGCGTAGACTAGACCTCGCTTGATCCGGCAGACGACAGACCTGCCATCCTGTCAGGAAGTTCAGCCCATCAAGCCGCGTCGTCCCCTCCTGGGAACTAGATCCCTACTGCGTTCGCTGCCTGCCTAATCCCCTTCTTGGCATGGTGATATTTATAACCTCGCCCGAGAGACAACTGAGGTACTGTTACAAGGCGGTCCCTCGTAAGGTCGGACAAGTACACAATAGTGGCTCTACACAGTCGTAAAAACACGGCAAAAGTAGTCTACGTCACGAGCGCGCAGGGACAACGGCCAAATCCCTCCCGTCTCCATCCCCGCTCCCCCCTTGCTCACCACTTCAGACGTACAGACCCAAGGACCTATCATGGAGCTGCGGGGTTGACCTTTCACACAAGTCAGACCCGAGCGTTGACGGATGGAAACCTCCCCCTCACCCGCTCGAGATTCGTAAATCAGCAGTAGTTGGAAACATGGAATTCTCACGTGTTATTCATACTCGTTTTCCCCCCCACTATACCCCAAAGTTTCCCATCCTCCGAATCCCAAAAGCGTTGCGTAGGACAAGACCAGAACCCAGCTCCCCCAGCTTTCACGCATATTGGCAATGGGGCAGCGGTGGTTTCCTCTCGGGATGAATAAGCCTCCATTTGAAAATGATGGAAGAAGCATGAAAACTCCATTTCGAAGAACGCCCCGAGGGCCCTACCAGCCCGTGTCCCGCCATCTAGTAATAGAGCCAGCTAAGAGATTCAAGCGCGCCAAGACCCAAAAAGGCAAAAAAGAAGAAGAGACAGAACTCAGAAGAAGAGAAAAACCCAGAGCAGCAAAAATCAGTTGAACCACCTTAGCCGTAGAACCAATCGGTCGTTTTCCGTTCGTCTGTTTGCATAACCGTCATAATCTCGGCTGCCCTCCCAAGATCCCAGGGGACAAGTAGCAAGACTTGACTGGCCCGGGAGACAAGAGAAAAGAAGTAGAGAAAACCGATAAAGAGAGGAAGAGAGAGAGAGAGAGAGAGATAGAGAGAGAGAGATGGGAGCCCACGGCTTTTGCGTTTCTCTGCCGCTCATCGCCACTGCTCTTCCATCGAACAAGGCAGATACCCCGCTCAGAGTGTGTAATTCTGCATATCCTGAAACATGAACATGTTGTCGGCGAAATTCATCGTCCCTGGGTGTGTGGGCATCCCCAAGTGGGCGGCGACATTGGACGCATCGTAGGCCATTGGCGGCGCGTTGCGTTGTCGCGGGACCTGCTGCGCCCTCGCCTGCTCGTCCCGGAGCTTGATATACTCGGCGTGTAGGGATGAGTAGGCCTCACTGAGGGAGTCAGTCTTCTGCTTCTGCTCGGCGAGCATGACCTCGAGGTCCTTTATGCGCTGGTCCTTGCGCTCTCGGTACGCCCGTTGCGAGGCTCTGTTCTGCGCACGGCGACGCTGTAAAAGGAACGCAGGCTCGTCAGTCTTTCTGCTGAAGAGTTGTGTAACCGGCGCTCTGGGTGACACCTAGCGCGGTATCCAAGGGCTTCAGTACTCACCGAAAGGACCGACGGGGGCGCGTTTTTGTAGCGGTTCTCGCGCTTCCTCTTGGCGGGGGCCTTGGCCGGAGCTGTCTTATCATCCGGAGTGGGCTGCGGTGACGCTGTGTCGCGAGACGAGCTGATAGGGCTGGGATAGATGCCTTGATCCAGGCCTTTGAAGTCATTTACAAGGGTCATGTCAAACTAGGTCGGACCCAAGTCAATTGAATGTCGCGGGGTGTGGGACGAGCCAACTTACACTAGACATGACGGGACTTGTCGACTCGGATGAGCTGGTGGTATCCAAGTATTGTTCAGGTTCGTCGTAGATATAAGGAGCGTCCATTTCCAAGAAAGTCTCCACGTCGTCGTACATGTCGAGCGGCAGTGAGTGATCCATTTGCAGCAATTGAGTGCTGATAGTGGGATGCAAGACGTGGATGGTGGAATTGAGATGGGTTGGTAGGCAAGCAGGTTTGACTTGATGTCGGCTTGAGATACGTAAGTAGGCCAGGATGAGGGTTGAGATGATATATACTGGATAGAGCAGGCAAAGCGTCGTCTGCATATATGCCTGAAGAGTGATGATGTGTAAGACAACCCAAGCTACGCCACGAGGATTTGCAAAGGGCTGCGGGGAATTATATAAGGCGCGTAACGAAGGAAATACCACGAAGACATACACCACCAGGCAGGGTACCGGTAGGTAAAGTAACAGCCAAATCAGCGGGGCAGACGCAATATGCACATTGCAAAACTGTGTCCTATGGTTGATTAGTAGGTAAGCAACATTGTGGCAGACCTTGGGGGACGACGAACGTATACGCACACATACAAACTCACACACCATACATACATACATACATACATACATACATACATACACATACGCACCCATACATGCACCCACACCAGCAACGCAGCTTTCCAGTGGATCGATCCCTGGTCGAATTGGACCCCAGATAGCATACCTCCTGGGCTGCTTAGGTGCATGGCGGGGCCTCCGTCCACCCTCTTGTTCCTGGCCCTTGGTTGGGTTCAAGGATGCATGCTGTAGAAGCGAAAAGCACGAGAAGAACCGTCGCCTCCATCTTTCTTGGGTCTGGTCGAGAGCTTGTACCGCATGTGGTGGTGGTGGTGGTGGTGGTGGTGCGGGCAGGGATAGAATTGGAGATTGCCGTTGTCTGCGCGCGAAGTCCCGCTCTGAACGGGCGGGTTGCAATGTTGCAAGGGCCCCTGGCAATACGGAGCAAAATTCGACGGGGACAGAGACGGAAGACGGTAGACAAAGACGGAGGCGAGGGGGGGTCGAGATTGTAGTGGTAAGCCGACGCGGTGCCGTTAAGTTCTGAGCCTGCCGCCGTTGCATGATGCTGAGCCATCTCGACCACGACGCTTCGAAGGGCAAGATGAGATGACTCTGTGTAACCAACCACCCAACTGTCCAACTTTTGGCCAGTCCGAACCTCGGACGGATGGTTTACGAAAGCACCGCCGCAGCCAGACCTACACTCGCCGTCTCCTTTTGCTCATCCCATCCATGAAAAGTATGAGAAAGGTTCAGGAGGCGAACATTCGCGGTCTCGTCTCTTCGGTGTACTGTAGATTCTGTATGTACGACGGATGCGACTTTTGCTGTCTGTGATTCCGATACATGTTCCCTACTGCCATGTACGATGTAGATACGCTTCGTCCGTGGCCGGAAAGAGGCGTGTACGTTGCTCTTTTCGCCGACCGTTAAGCGACCCTCGTTTCGCGGATTATTGTCAAAAGGCCGTTTTCCTGAGATAACAGTCAAATCCCGATGGTTTTCAGAGGCCGAACGTGGATTCACATTGCCTGCCCGACAGTCGTCCAAGACTAGGGCTTGGGCTAAGCGTAGCATTTGCAATTCCGCCTTTTCGGGTCGCTTCCAAGCAGTGAAGCTTCGTTCTTGGTAGACTTCTGACAGAAGAAGGGCGGAGCCCGATTTGGATGCAAGCTGTGGGAGGGGGCAGCATTGGCAAGGGCGTATGCATAGAATGGCAGCGCCTGATGCATGTCGCACTTGTTCGCACTTTTCGGGTGGCTCTAAGACGAGATGCCTGCTGCGTCAAGGTTTTCTGATGGCTTCGTCCCATCGAGTATGGAAGTGGACAGCGCCCCGAAATTGGGTTGAAGCATGTTCCTCGGAAGACGATTCGAGAGATTGTCTACAGCGACTCATACCCGTGCCGGTGCCGAAGACGTTCGCTGACCGATAGTCAGTCGTTACCACATCTTGGAGCTGTGGTACGGTATGATGGCGATTCTCGGTGTAAGCGGTGCTGGCGCCCAATGGCGACAGTGAAGACTTTGGATGTATCGCCCTCGGGTAGCCTAGCCTAGCCGTCGTGCGTTTCCCCAATTCCGAATGAGGTTTTTACGGGTGCCCCTTGAGCAAAGAGGCCTTACGCATCTGTTAGCCAGTTCGTGTGCATACATGTTACGGACCCCACTAGCAACAAACGACATGCAGGGCAGCGGCACGATCACCACAGCTGTGCATAGGGCAGGGGACGGTTGCCTTGCGAGGCTGGCCCAGCCCCGTAAACCACAGCAAAGGAAGGTGCTGCGCAACGCCAACAATAGAAGTCTCCATGATTCCCCGCGGGAGGCGTACATGTGACTTGCGTCAAGAAGAATCCTGCGGCGGGCATGTCAGCTAGTGTTGATAGTCGTCGGAGGGTTTCCGAACGAACTTTAACACGGCTGTAGGCCGGAGCTACCGTGAGGAAGGAAGGGGTTCCCAGGACATGGAAGGGGGGAAAGATACAGGTACGATGCCACACGAGCCCCGACTTAATCTTCACCAGGGAACGGCTGGACTGGACACGGAATTCTGATTTGCTGGATGGCAGAATTGGATAGCACACTCGTACAATAAGAGCCCTTGAGAGTTGTGCTGCGGCATCGGGCAGGATTCATCTCGCCGCCGGTGACATGGGGAGGGAGGAAACATGGGATTTGAATCCGCTCCGAAGCCCCCCAGTTTTCCCTGTGCCAGCCAGTGCCTCTTGAATCCGGGGATGGTTTAACTCGGACGCGCAGGCGATGTCGGGCTAGGCCATGGGGCCTGCCTCTGCAGTCTTCGGCTCAGAAATCCCCGGCATGACTGAGTTTCCCTTCCCCATCCGTCTCCCGGCTGTGTGTGTGGTGCGGATGGGTGGGCAGAAGATCGGATCCTACAGGCACATCTGTTCGCTGTGCTTGCAGTAACGGCACGGAATTCCATCTGATCAGCGGTGGCGCATTTTACGTGTGGCTGTATGGTAAGGCGAGTGCTCGTGGGCCGGAATCGCACAAAAGCTTCCCGCCACAGCTATACCTAGGTATTTGGGTGCTTTCGAGGCTCAGACCATGACAGCCATTGTAACCGCGTCTACAGAACGTGGAGGTTGAGCCGTGTGCTAACGGCACTCTATTCCTTGGTGGATATACCGACGATGACCGGTACCCCAAAGAGGCCAAGGGGGAGAGGGAAAGGATCGAATGCAACAAGCGATGACCAGGTACCTGCCGTGTCTGTCAGATTAGCATTGCAAGGTACCCAATGCGTAGGTGGTAAACTAACTACATACCGGTAGGTAGGTACCAAGTGTAACGTACATGGCATGTGTGCTGTTTCCTCTGCGAGGTGGAATTCCGCTGCACTAGTGGGCCGAGCGTCGGGGTTGCAACGTTTTGACCGTTTTCGGTAGGTGGTGGATGTGTACCTGTGTACTTCCTCCAATCGGGAAGCGCTTCCAAGCAGCACCGTTTTTGTTTTGCTTTCTTGTGCCGTTTTGCTGTGTGGGCAATCCCTGACAGGCCTCGGTGTAAGCGATATGACGCACGTTGGCCACTGGACGTCACATGCACTGCTGCTCTCAGTGGCTTAACGGCGCGCTCCTGCCATGCTTCTTCTTTGCCGTTGAGCATATGTGGCGCTGGCCGTGTTACCGTCGTCAAATGGTCCTAAGCAGCAACTGAACGATCAGCAGTCCTGTTCCGCCCCGAGCCGAATCCTGCCACCGTAGCCCGCCCCCCGGGAGCGGAACTCCACAATAGAACGCCGGGAACCGTCGGCGGTCACATCATTTCAGAAAAATCAAATCCTTTGACTGAATTGGAAACAGCAGGGCGGAGAAACAGCTGTTATCGCACCGCCCGCATGTGCGAGATGCGTCGGCTCTGCGTGATAGTTTCTCGTCCTTGCTTCACAAGTCCCGCCAGAGCCTGTCACTGTCCCCTACCCAGATCAGGCAGCCATTATTGTCCCTGTTCGAGCCCCCCCCCCCCTCCCTCTCTACTTAGTTCTTTACTTCCCATTCCGACGAAACCGGCGGGGGTTCCCAATGGCTGGGTGGGGGGGGGGGGGGGGGTTATCTTGCTTGCGGTATTCTTTCGGACCTCAGCAGAGTGACGCCGATACGAGCGTTCCAATCAGAGGCCTCGGTTGTTTTTGTCATGCTGCCTGCCGGCTGCAGCTGCTAGCGTAGCGGGTGCCCCCGTATCCCATACATCCCTTACCTACCTAGTTTACTACTACTTAACCTAAGCAACTTGCGTGCAGGGGATTCTGACATAGCGGCCCCCCGTAGTACGGAGAAGTCTGCGTGAGATCATGTCCCCCCGCCGCCCGCCAGTACCGGTAGTCACACCACAGTCTGTAAATCTCGGCGAGCCACAAGACTGTGCTTCTTTACTCGCTCGTCCGGTCTCACTCCGTAGTTGGGTTTCTCTTCGTCTGGACCCTGGACCGAGTAACTGGGTGTTGTGTCATTGTACCTCAAGCAGGGTTCGAACAAGCCGATACTATTTAAAGCCCGCAGCCCCCCCCTTGTTGCCAAACTGGGCATTTCAGATTGCTGGCTGGCGCACCCCGGACCAGATCACGTACCCAGCTTTTCGGTCGGCTTTATCCCGCCACTTCGTCTTCCATTTCTATGTTGACTCGAAAGGAGAGTAGGTACCTATTTGCCGATATATCAATGTCTTACCTCGTGGTTGTTATAGCTGCCTGAATCTAGCGACAAGGACGTCCCTTGAACCCAAGTTCGCCTGCAGCGCAGATGGACAAGGCTATTCGAGTCTGTCCGCCACTGGTTGAGCGGAATTCCGGTCAAGACGTCGGAGAAAAGTTCCCGTCGATCCAGTGCCCCAGACCCCGAGTGACATTGCGGCATGGTCTGGCCGGGGATGAGGAATGATGTTATTGCAGAAAACACATGGATGGACCAGTGAAAATCCTTGCGTGGAATACAAGGCATGCTGTGAGGGCATTGGCTGGGTTATCATTTGATAGCCATTGGATTAAGCTCGCCTCCTTCGCTTGGCACGCATGGGTCTCGAGGTGGGTCCAATAAACGAAGGGATCTGTTGCAATGTTGACCATCGCGGATAAATATCGGAGTTATCGGGTTAACCCCAATGACTCATCGCCAGCAAATCCTCAGATATTCGGCCATAGATTCTCTAAGGATTTGTAGGCAATAAGTTAGTTATTTAACTAACTAACCTACAATAATTATCCTTTTTTTCTTTACGTATAATAAAGAACTATAGTTACCCCTATTATTTATTAATTACTACTAATATATATAGTTAACTATATTAACCTATCCCTTAGTGTTACTAACACTAATTAGTAGTTAACTTTACTATTAACTATATAGGTTAACTTTACTATCTAAACTATAGATTAGTAAGGACTATAAGAAAAAGTAATTATTACTAGTTAATTATTTATATACCTAGAGTAAGCAAGGACTAAAAAACGCCTTTATAAATACCTTTACTATAATATTATACTAATTACCTATTATAATAGGTTAATTAATAGATCTATAACTAGTCCCTTTAACTAGTAAAAACCCTATTAATTTACGTCTATTATATAAGCTTTATTACCTTTAGAGAAGTACTTTTAACTATAAAAAACCTTTTACTTTATATACCTATAGCTAACTAGTAATTATTTACTATATTTTATTTATTATAAGCTTTTTAGCTTACTAACTTCTTTTTTCTATATATATACTTCTTTTACTAACTAATAGTATTAATAAGTTACTAATATAATAGCCTATTATTTCTTCTCTTTCTGTTAACTAATAGTATTAATAAGTAGCTAATATAATAGCCTATTATTTTTCTCTAAGTTATTTACTTATAAGAGTATATTTTTTCCTAGTTGTCTATACTACTAGTAGTAATCCCTCTAATAAACGTATACGCCTTCTAGTCTACTAAAAGAAACACCTATGTTTAAGAGGTTATTAGGCTAATAGAGGATAATAGTAAATAATACTACGCCTATAAGTAGAAGACCTAAGCTAAGATAAATAAACAAGATAAGCTTATAAGTAAGTAAAGCTCTTAAGTTACTATACTTTTACCTATAAGGTAATAAGAAGAGGAGATTTATAGTAAATATAATATACTACCTAATATAGTAGAAAAGATAGTAGTAATAAATAATATTATTACTATACCTTTTACCTTTATATAGTATATTCTTTTATACTAATAAAGAAAAGATTATATTATAAGGTTACTAATTAACCTTATAGAGAAGTAATAATCCCTTA